TATGAAAGGTACTATATGAATAAAGTTTGACTGATTGATATTCTGTCTTGTATTAAGTTATTACAAAAATAATATTGGCTCCTACATGGGCTCATGGAGGCGACTAGTTTGCAAACAATGCATTACTAGTTAAGACAAATATACACCTATTATAGGTTGTGTATATGTATCTGCCTCATGTCTTGTCTGTTGAAGGCTGAACATCACTCCGTGCTCTTTCATCAGCCTATTTTCCCTCTGATGAAAACTTTGCTTTCTCCCGATGTATGACTTCAACAAAGTTCCAAAATTGCAGGCATGGGCATGTTCTGTTCTACTCATCTAATTGCTTCATTTCCATCCTGGTGAAATGTAAAATAACATCTTTTAAAATAGCATAATGGAAGCAGGAGGCATTTCAGTCAGAGCAGCTAGTCTGCATAACCCTGGAGCTAAAAGACTGAGCTGAGAAACTGCATGGCGAGCATCTGAAATCTAAACAGTTTGAATTCCTTTTCTATCCCACTGTGTACCACTTCTCACTACCGTCTCCTATCATATTTTCAACAGATTATCCTGACAGCTGTATGATCTATTTCCGCATACGCACTACCTCTATAATGTCTTTACCTTTCTTTGGTTTTTCACCACCAGGTTCATGTATAGGAGGGGTTTTCGCTGCTATCAGTGGGATGAATGATGGGATATTTGGGAGGGGCGAGGTGAAATGATGTGTCAAATCTGAGGAGAAAATACACCAATTAAGGCTCTTGTTATACAGATGTGTCAAACCATCACTATGGTATAGATTAGTTTTATCACAAGATAACAAGTTATGCTTTATCACAAGATAACAAGTTATGCTTTATCACAAGATAACAAGTTATGCTGTTTTTTTAATTATTCGAAGGTAATATACTTTAAAGGGATAATTCAAGAGGAAATATGGTTGCTCGCATTTCTTAGCTGGAATCAGGATTAGCCTAGCTTAGCATAAAGACTGGAAGTGAAGGGAAACAGCTAACCTGGCTCTGTCTGAAGTTCAAACTTATACCCACCAACATCCTCTAAACCACATTAAGTTACACAGTGTATCTTGTACGTGAACAGACTTTATTTGCTCTGGGCAGATGGACAAGCTGAAGTATGGTCTGTCAAGAAATAGTTAATAGTTAATACCAACTCTACAACTTGGTTTGTATATGACTTAAACAAACGACGTGTTATACAATGTGTTAGTTAATTAACTTTAGAGGTGTTGGTTAGTGTATTTTTTAACTTTGGACTGAGACAGGCTAGTTGTTTCCACCTGCTTTCAGTCATTATGCTAACCAGGCCTAACCACATCCTGCCTCCGGCTTTGCTTAACTACACCAACACGTTCTCATTCCCCAACTTTACCCAAATACTGCAACGCTAAGTTAAGGCACATTATGTACCTTATGTAACTTAAGTAGGATATGTTAGTTTACAGACATAACTTAAAACCTTTTCTTTCAAATGGGACACAAACAGCAATCTCCTCGGTTAAAGTCCTGAGCCAATCCATCCACCCCACCACCTCCACATGCAGCCTTTCTTGCTCTTTATACTGCATATTGCGGGCCCGTTTATAAATAGAGGGAAACCTGCAACGTCATATTTTGAAACAGGGGCCACCGACTGAGCGGCAGTAATTGATGAGTTAATATCTGTCCAAGTCAGCCATTTGTGTCAATCTTGATAAAGAATGGAGGGCATATTCCCATTATAGCACAATTTGTTACCTCCATATTACTGGGGTTAGGTAGCTAAATACTTACACAGCCAAATACTTCAGTCATTAGCTTGGCATAACAGTTTGAAGAAAACACAATTTAAAACACCAGAAATATCATAAATTGTTATCATTTCAATGAAACATAATGTCAGTTGGGGTAATGGCTGGCAGAAAATACATTGTTAACATACATTTTGTTAATGATATATAAATAACCCTAACCCTAACCCTAAAAATTAGCAACCAGTCATTGCTGTTTGTGTCTAAATGATAACCACTAAAGGTTAAAAGGGTTAGTATATCAACAATAGATGTTATGACTGTTTTCTGTCACTAATATATGTTAAGTAATGTCAGATCTTTTAATATGTTAATACAGCCTGGTCTTACATTTTAGCTATCACAAAGAAAAGCTGATACAGAAAATGACATACATGTAGAATTGTTAGTCTAATTAAACTAATAAACCAATCACAACACGAAATGCTACAGAAATGTTTACCTGCGTGGAACTCTGCGTTTAGCTCCTACATGTGAAGACAGTAGTCGAGGGTCAAAGTGGTGAGAGAGGCAGGAAGGTAACATCACAGCAGTGCTACAGATTAATGGTGTTTAGCATCAGCAGTCCACAACTCTGTCACATTCAAGTCACAGTTATTTCACTGTGCCTTTGAGTCTAAATACAGACAGCAACCAGAAAGCAAATCATGCATATTAGTTCTTGTACACCGCACGCCCACTGTGTTAGCAATCCATTTACCTGCCACCTTATTCACTCAGAGCAGCCTCTTGTGAACCAAAGCACACCCACACAGTCATCAGTGGGTGCATCTTGTTAGAAACAAGCAGAGATTAGAGGAAGAGGCACAGGCAGCATGGGGTGAGTAGAAAACAATGACATTTGAATTCAGTATAGTATATTCATAGAATATTCGACCTCTTATAACCCACACATCTGACAGAGCCAGACCTTTCTAAATGCGTAGTAAGCTGAGCTATACATAAGGTTGGTTATGGCTTGAGGTTATACACATGTTGCTCAAATGGCATCATACTGGGGTAAATATCCATAATTTATTTATCTGAGTTGAATATATTTTTACATTGTGTTATTTACATTAAACTTAATTGTTTAAAAGAGCAAATGCACATTTTGTTTATATATGTATATATGTGAGAGTTTAAACATGAATGTAGCAGCAAACAGCTATTATGTATGTAAAGATATAGTGGAGTCATGGTGTCACACTCCCTCTGCATATGTTGCTATTGCAGCCTCTCTGTGGTTTGTTTGCTTGTGCTCTATTATGACATCCAGTGTTAAGTGAATTTTGTATAACCTTTAAATTAAAGTTTATTTAGTTTAAAAGAACAAATGTACATTTAGAAACAAGGGGTAATTTAAACCAAGACATGGCTATATTTTAAATGTTGCTGTGTCAAAAATCTACACACAAAATAGCACTGACTAATGTAGAATCACATTTTATTTTATTAACTTTAATCTGAATCTTGGGTGTGCTGATGATGCAGCATTATACTGCATTGGCCAATCAAAAGTACTTTGTAATGTAAACACCATAACTCTGGTGATCATGGAGACAGAGGATAAAATGTTTGACTGTTTTAGTGTTTTGGCGTCTGTTAAACCTTCATATTCAAACTGGCAATCCTAGATCGTATTTCATCATCTTACATCGACCTGAAGTAACAACGTCCCCACCTACACAGCCAGTATTCTTTAGTTGCAGTGCTGCTTTCAGTCTGATTGCCTGCAGTAACACCTACAGAAAGCCAACCATTCACTCTCACATTCACACGTACAAGCCATTTACAATATGAAAACAATTTAGTAATATACAAATGTAATTTCTAGGAGACAGGGTTGGAACCTTACCTGGAAGCTTTAAGACTATTAATGATTAAAGAATTATTTCTGCATCACCGTGAAACATTACACCACTGCAGGAAAAACAAGATATCCAGGAGGTGTTGAGTTACTGTTTGATGTTGTGAGTCAGCTTTTACAGAGAAATTTTCACTACAAAGCTGATCATTTCTATTTACCAGTGAAGCTACACATTGAACTTACAAGTCAGTAAAAAACTTTCAAACTTACATCAAGAATTGGTTAATTATAAGCTGTTCATTCATTGTGACAAAACAACAAATGTCGTAGCTGAATGTAACTTTTATCACATATTTAACAACAGAGAACCACAAATTAAGCAGCCTGTGTGTGTTAAGGTGTACTGCTTCATCAACACATCTGCTAGGAGCAATGTTTCAAATGTAGCCTACACAGCCATGACCTCATTTTGTTCTCACATCAGGAATCAGCAACTTATGTTTTGTAAAAAGCTAAATGATTATTAGAACTCATCATGTTTCATTGCCTCCAGGTGAAAAGTTGCATATTGCAGCAGAATTAATCAGTAAGCACACACAGGGTAAGAGCCGATAAAGCAAGCAGAGTATTAAAAGGCAGCCAGTTTATTAGAGCCTACCTTAATAATGTCTTCAGCTGTCCTCTCAACCTCTTTTAATCGCTTCAGAACGACTTCTTCGTTGGCAGAGATGTTGAGCTCCTGTGTTTCCAGGGCCTCAATCTCCTTCTCTATTCTGTACAAGAAAGGAATGAACTGTGTTATTACTGGAGCGCTTAACTGAACAGCATTTTCAGCAGGTTTTAACTAACAGCAGCAGATAAGGAGTACTTGAACCTTTTTTTTTGTACCAGGCTGTAAAGATGTTT